GCTGATTCACCACCAGGGCGGAGTCGGAGTAGACTTGGACCCTTCGCGCTCCCAACTCGCGTGCCGTACGCAACCCGGCGATTACCGCCTCGTATTCGGCGGCGTTGTTCGTTTTCAGCAACGAAAATCGGAGGGCCACCTCGTGAGTTGTTCCCATGGGGTTGATAACAACTATACCCGCACCGGCGCCTACCCGGCTTGCCGCCCCATCAACATACACCCTCCAATCCTCTTCCAACCCCTCTCCTTCGCTCACCACGCCCTCCGCGGCGAAGTCCGCCAATACCTGCGCCTTGATTGCAGGTCGAGGCGCATACTTGACATAATACTCGCTCAACTGCACGGCCCATTTCACCATGCGTCCCGCCACGTCCATCGAGCCCAGCGTCCCCTTCAGCGGTAGATTGGTAAGCACAACCACGGTGTGCGCCTGAAAGTAGGGACGTAGCTTTTCTGTCGCTACTACCACTGCCAGGGCCGCCTTCTCGATGGGCGCGTAACGCGTCTCGGGGCCCGTCATTACCTTGCTCACGTAATACACGGGGCGTTCTTCCTTGTCCGGGCCCCCTCTGGAAATGAGGACCGCGCTTACGGCGGCTCGGGAAACCGCTATGTATAGGTACAACGTCTCACCCTTTCGAGGCGCCGTCATGACCGTCGGCGCCACCAATAGGTCTTTCAGCTGTTCGAACGCCCTATCGCACTCGTTGGTCCATTTGAAGCGCGCGACCTTCTTTAAGACGCCGAAAAAAGGGGCGCCCTTGTCAGCCGATCTAGGAATGAAACGCCCCAGAGCCGCCAGGCGTCCATTCAGGACCTGCACTTCGTTGGGCGTCCGCGGGGGGCTGAGGCGCCTGATCGCCTCCACCTGCCTTGGATTGGCTTCGATCCCCCTCTTGGTGATCATGAAGCCCAGGAACTTCCCCGCTTCCTCCCCGAACACGCATTTCAACGGATTCAGGCGCAACGTGTGGGCACGCATCGTTTCAAAAGTTTCGCGCAGATCCCTCAAGTGATCTCCCTTTCTCTTGCTTTTTACCACTAGGTCGTCCACGTACGCTTCCACGTTTCGGCCAATTTGTCGCTGAAATATCGTGTTCACCATGCGCTGGTAAGTGGCGCCATCATTCTTCAACCCGAATGACATGACTTTGTAGCGAAAGTTGCCGAAGGGAGTTGCGAACGCGGTTTTGTCTCTATCCTCCTCGCACATAAGGATCTGATGATATCCCGAGAACATGTCTAGAAAGCTCAGCGCCTCGTGATATGCGGTTGCATCCACCAACTGGTCTATGCGCGGCATTAGGGGTGGCTATTTGGACCGGGACCGGATTAAGAACCGGAAACCGGACCGTATAACCCGGACCGAGACCGGACCGGGACCGGATAGTAAACAATCCAATCCAATCTTTGGGCTTAGATTTGAGGTAAAAAACCGGATAAAGACCGGATAAGAGAGCTCAACACCCAAAACTTAAGGGTAATTTGCATAAACGGTCACAAACCTTTGCACTTAGTACAAAACTTAACCAACTCCTCACCCTTTAAGGCCTTAGGCCACTCAAATCCCACAATCTCAATATAAAATCAAGACCGAATTGGGACCGGACCGGATCAAAACCGGACCGGATCAAGACCGGACTGTATCCAATCCAATCTTCGGTCCTTATATCTTCAAAAAGACCGGACTGGACCGGATCAATTTGGGCCAATTTAACCGGACCGGACCGTATAGCCACCCCTACGCGGCATGGGGTAGGCGTCCGTGTGGCACACTCGGTTCAGATTCGTGTAATCCACGCACATCCTCCAGTCCCCCGTCGCCTTTGGGACAAGCACTACATTCGATAGCCATGTTATGTATCTCGATTCCTCCACGAATCCCGCCTCGAGTAACTTCCCTACCTCCTTGCGAAGGGCTTCCTCTTTTTCCTCCGAGAGGGGCCTCCTCTTTTGCTGCACTGGGCGTGCGCCCTTCTCTACCGACAGCCGGTGTAACGCGATCTCGGGCTTCACGCCTGGCATCTCCTTGGCGCTCCATGCGAACAAATCGGTGAACTCCTTTAGGAGTTCCACCAGAGCCTCGACCGCCTCCCCGCTCGTGTGCGCCGAAATGCGCACGCACCGCTCGGGGCGCTCAGCGTCCAATGGGACTTGGACCTCGGCATCAGCTGCTTCCGCCCTAGGCGTGTCCTCCGGGCGCTCGTCAATATTGTATAGGCGCGCCCTTTTCGCTAGACGTGCTTCCGGAGAGGCTTCTCCCCGCGACATTCCTACTCCCTTCGGGGTAATGAACTTCAACACCTGGTGGCAAGAGGACGCAACCCCATTAAAGAGTGCCAACAAAGGACGCCCCAGGATCGCATTGTACGGTGAAGGGCAGTCCACGATCCCGAATTCCACCGTGTGTGTCACGTGGTGCGCCTCGTCCCCCAAAGTCACCGGCAGGCGCACGCGCCCCATCACTCTTGCCGGCACTCCCGAGAACCCAATTAGGACCGACTCCGCCGGCCTGACTATGCTCGGCGATAGTTGTATTTTTTCGAACGTGGATCTGAAGAGCACATCCATCGAACTTCCCGTATCCACCAACATCCTCTTCACTTCACATCAAGCCACCACCCCCCTGATTTCAAGCGCTTCCACGGAGGGCACCCGACACGCCTCCTCCGGGGTTTCGTTAAAGTGAATATGCACCGCCGCGCGTGGCCGATTTCAGGCGCCTTCCCTCGTCAAGCTTCTGCCTGAGGTCTAGCGTACCCGAGATGGCCTCGATCGTGAGTCTCACGCGCTCCGGGTGTGTCTCGGGCTCGATGTCAAATGGGGGCGGGGGCAGGACATCTTTTTCCATGGGGGCTTTCCCTCCTTCAACCGGGGCATCTTCCTGCTTCTCCCCCTTCTTCTCCTCCTGCACTGCAAAGGCCCTCTGCGCCCTATCTTCCCCTTTTCTCACGAACTCGTTCAACATTCCTCGATCTACCAGCCCTTGGATCTCTGACTTGAGTTGATGACAATAGGCAGTGTGGTGGCCCTTTTCCCGGTGGAACTCACAGTACCTGTCGAGGTTCTGCTCGTTCTGGCGCCCCCTCATTGGCCCCGGCCAGCGGATATGGTATCCCTTATCCTTCACAAACTGCAGCACATTCCTCAGTGAGTCATTAAGTTCGGTGAAGTTCCCCCCCCCCTTTGGCGGAAAACGTGGTGGTTCCGGGCGCCGTATGTTCGCCGGGAAATGCGGGTGGTGCGTGGCGACGGGCGGTGGGCGTAGCGCCCTGGCTACCTCTACTTCTTCCGGGCGCACGTCCCTCCTCTCAAGCCTTCTTGCCGCCAGTGTTTCTTCCAACATGATCACCTTTTGCACCCTCCGATCCAAATCTTCGGTCGACGTCACGTCCCTCTTAGACAGCGCTCGGCACAACTCCTCGCTCGTGGTGCACTCGTCCAGGCAGCACCCTAGGACCGGGGGCTTCACATCCTTGACCGCCATGGCCACTGACATCCAGCGCTCATAAAAGTCCCTGAGCGCCTCGCCTTTCCGTTGCTTGACCTTGAACAAGGCGCTTATGGTGAGGCTCCGACGCTTCCGGCTGGCGAACTTCGAAAGAAAAAGGGCCGCGAATTGCTCGAAGCTATCGATGCGCCCCTCCTCTATCTGATGGTACCATTCCAACACCACGCCCGTAAACGTCAAAGGGAAGGCGCGGCACAAGGTGGCGTCGGAGCTGTTGTACAATTGCATCTTCGTGAAGTAGTTGTTCAAGTGATCCTCTGGGTCGGCCGCCCCGTCGTAAGTAGGGAGCGCCGGGATGACGGAGTTTGCTTGCTCGGCCAATATGCTTCGCGCGAGGGGCTGTCGCACCCCCCACGCTCTCCCCTGGCGACGGTGTGCCCATCCGTTGTGCTCGTCAAAATCCGAGGCCATATGCTTCGTCAGGTGCCCCAGATCTTCCATGCGCCTTAGTGCGCTAGACGCCCCCTCCTCTTCTTCCTCTCGGTCCCTTCTCTTTCCTAGTGGGGGGTCCGCCACCGCACCCTTTTTCAACACTTCCACCTCTTTCCTGAGCGCCTCCAACGCCTGCTCCTGTTGCTCGACTATGTGGAGCAGATGCTCCTTTGTGAGGGTGACGCCCTCGGACTGGGTCGTCTCCTGCGCCCCGTCGTCCACCGCCGCGTGCGCTTCCCCTGATAACACATGTGCCTCCCGGGACGCCTCGGCCCCCGCCGGTCCCCCTTCTCCTTCACCTGCCCCTATCGCCTCCATGACACCTTGCTCTCTCTGAATCTATGCGCCCCCTTCCTGGCGCGCCAATTGTTCGAGCCCGGTAACTAGGCGCCCCGAACCCGCGTGCTTGTTCCTTCCCGCGCGCTCTGCCCTGCACGCTGCACGGCTAACCTGAGTCCGGAGGAGGACTCGTTAGCACTCCAACGCCCAAGTCAGTTACCTTTCCTAGAGAGAGAAGTGAATAGTAATTTTAGAGAGAAGTGCCAACCTGAGTAAATGAAGTTCACCAACCTACTATTTATACCCGGAGCCCGGCCGACCAACATCCTTCTCTTCCGCCCCTTGCCAGACCCGCAATTAATGCTCCGTACGGCCAAGCGCCCATGCGCCTCGACCATCTGACACTCTGTTCAGAAGGGCCAGGCGCATGACGTCAGCCAGTCCTCAAACCCGTACCCTGGGACTCCCCTGTGCCTACCTGTCGCACGCGCCTTGTGTCAGGGCTGCGGTCCCCACCCGTCTGGGGAGGCTCTTCCCTGTCCCTGAGCCAACTCTTCCCCTGACCCTGGGCCCATTGGGCCGGGCCCAATTCCTCAGCCTCCCAATCTCTACTCTTGGACCATATTGGTCCAACCTAGGTGGGCCATGTATACATCCCCAACAGGTACCAAATCATATGTTAATCACATTTCACAATCAAAGATACCACAACAATAATAATTGATTAAATTTAACCATAAATAAACTAACAAGCAATAATCATAGCTTGGTGCCTTCCACGCTACCAATGGACCAACCTTATTAGCATCACTATCATCCTCCGCAAAGATCCTTGTATTCTTATAACACAATCTCTCTGATTGCAAGGAAACAAACGAATCAAAGCCACGCCAGAGAGCGCACAGAAAAGGAGAAGAAAAGGTTGGAAAGAAAGGGCAGCGTTTCGACGGAACTGGGCGTCAGTCAGTGGGCAAATGATGATGATGAGCAAGCTTTTGATTCGAAAACGCCTTTTAACGTTTGCTCGCTGCAGTTGTTGAAAAAAAATGGGTAGACCCATCTTCCCCTTCGCCGCCGTCTCCACCACCAACTTCTCCTCTGCCCACCGCCACCAGCTACCATTGAGCCGCTGCTTTCACTTGCGATCCAAGTCTCTCTCGCTTTCACCATGACCTTCTTCTCCTCCTCCTCCATTTCCAACCGCCATAAACCCTCTATTGAATTTGTATCTCCCTCGCGAATCCGAAACCACCCTCGTTGCCGACGTTCCCATGGACCCCACCGCTCGCCCTGCCGTCGTCATCGACAACGGCACTGGGTATGTATCAATCAATTCTTCCTGGGTTGCCCTTTTTTCCGTTTAATTGAATCGGGACTGGAGGTGTTCGACGAAATGCCTCGATGTGGATGATGGGGAATTCGGTTTTGTCTTGTTTCTGCAGGTATACTAAGATGGGTTTCGCAGGAAATGTTGAGCCTTGTTTCATTCTACCGACAGTAGCTGCAGTGAACGAGTCGTTTCTCAATCAATCTCGGGCTTCCTCCAAGGCGAATTGGCTCGCCCAGCATAGCGCCGGGGTGTTGGCCGATCTGGACTTCTTCATTGGGGATGAAGCGATTGCCAAATCGAGATCTAGTAGCACTTACAATCTTAGCTACCCGATTCAACATGGGCAAGTTGAGAATTGGGATGCCATGGAGAGGTACTGGCAGCAGTCTATATTCAATTACTTGCGGTGTGATCCCGAGGATCATTACTTCCTTTTGACCGAGAGTCCGCTCACGGCGCCGGAGAGTAGGGAATACACCGGTGAGATTATGTTCGAGACGTTCAACGTCCCTGGCCTATACATTGCCGTCAATTCTGTCCTCGCCCTAGCTGCCGGGTATACAACATCTAAGGTTGGTACTCAAATTTGAATTCTTTTTACACCTGCTTCGTATAGTTTTCTGCCTTAAGAGCTAGTTTCATAGCTTAAACTTATGTTCTGTCCTGTGAGGGTGGAAATAGGATTGAGATGATTGTAAATGAGTTAGGTGTAGGCTATTCTAGTTGTCAAATGGGAGTGGCTTAATTAAATCAAACTTATTGCTTCATTGTTGACTAGGAACTAGTGAACTTTGAGATTCTTACAGTTTGTCATGGTTGAATACTGGATAAGCATTGTAGATGGGTCTGTTTGTTGTTGTTGTTTCTTCGATCATTTGGCCAATAACTGGGTTTGTTCTTGTAATAACCTCTTCATATGAGATTGACCTACTAGCTTTCTTAGTGCGAGATGACAGGCGTTGTGGTCGATGTTGGGGATGGTGCTAGTCACGTTGTCCCAGTTGCTGAAGGCTATGTCATTGGAAGCAGCATCAAATCAATTCCAATTGCTGGACAAGACATTACTCTTTTTGTCCAACAGCTTATGCGGGTGAGTTACTTCTGACCTCAGAGTTTTGACTATGTTAGTCTGTCATCTAGATGAACTAAAGGGTTGCATTCTCGTGCTTTTACATGGGGGCTTCTCATAACCAGTATGAGTTGTGGGTTACCTCTTGGTGTTTTCTGGTCTAAAGATTAAACTGAAGTTGTTCCCTCTGTGTTTGAACATTACTTTATTGCAGGAAAGAGGAGAGAATGTACCGCCCGAGGATTCATTTGAAGTAGCCCGTAAAGTCAAAGAAATGTATGGCTACACTTGTTCTGATATTGTCAAGGTGAATTTTGATTATTTTTTGAATTCTTAGAAATGAAAGATTAACATTATGTAACGATATTAAGAGGATATAGTGTATATTTGTTGTTGACTTATGTAATACACTTGTTCTCTAATCATTGTAGTGGATAATGATAATTCTGTGTGTACAAATGATTACAGGAGTTTAACAAGCATGATAAAGAACCAGCCAAGTATATTAAACAATGGAAAGGTATCAAACCTAAAACCGGGGCGCCATACTCTTGTGATATTGGCTATGAGCGATTCCTTGGCCCTGAGGTTTGTCATTTTTCTCTTCACAACATCATTTTATGTTGCAAGCATAACAATGATATCTTGGGGATGGCCAGCAGTTTTTGCCTATATTATAAGTCGCACTTATTTCTGTCAGATGACTAAAATGACTAATGAGTAGAAGACTTTCATCATGACTCATTGCTAGACTATTCTTGATTTCTTTATAATGATGGCAAGTTTGAGTATGCTAGGCATTATAATTATATCAGGGACAACTCTAGTTTGAGTTGGTTATTTAACCATCATAACTATACAGTACTAAGATAGGCAGAGGCAGTGGGTGAACTTGATTGGGAAAAAGAGAAGACTTGTGAACCCACCACCTCTTCCTTTTTTTCTTCTGAACGTTACTACCTCTGCCTATCATAGTAATGTATGTTAAAGTCACGCAAAGGCTTTTCCTTTTGACTCTGTTAATAGGAAAATACAGAGTGAGCAAGTTGGATAATATGACATGTCTATTCCAATGTAATCTTGTTTCAGATGTTTGCAGTTACTATTGAACACATTTTTTTGTTTCTATGAAAGCGATCCTGCTGTCTTCCTTCTGAGGCTCTTTTATCTTGTTTGCCAGATTTTCTTTAATCCTGAGATCTACAGCAGTGACTTTACGACTCCTCTACCGGATGTAATTGACAAATGCATTCAGTCTGCACCAATTGACACCAGGAGGGCTTTATACAAGGTAACTAGTTCTACATGAGCTTAGTTGACTTTGTTGACAGGACAGTGTTGGTGCTGGTTGTCTTTAGGTCATTGGTCCAACTGATGATGTGCTCTTTACATGCTCTTATTTACTTTAAAGATAGAGTCCTGCATTGCAATTTCTTAAGAATTCAGATGGTTTTTCCTATTATGTAAGGCATATGTTTGATTATTTCATTAAGAAATTCAAGCACGTGCATCTTGATTTTTTGTCCAATAACACCAGATCTTGATTTTATTTCTTATTTTTCAGAATATAGTATTATCCGGAGGATCAACCATGTTCAAGGATTTCGGTAGAAGGTTGCAACGAGATATGAAAAAGATTGTGGACGCACGAGTTAAGGCATCTGAAGCCATACTTGGTGGTGATATTAAGGTAACCAAATTCGTATACATTTCGTATGTTCTTTTTGTAACGTGTCACTTGTGAACAACTCCATAACGCTAGAAAGGGTTGAAAATGTGTTTCTTGAATGGTGGTCTCTAGGCTCAACCGGTGGAAGTAAATGTTGTCAGCCACGCTATACAGAGATATGCTGTTTGGTTTGGAGGTTCAGTACTAGCTTCCACTCCTGAGTTTTTTGCGGTATGAATTCTCTTGCTTCAAACGTACATGATGTTCTAGTCTCTTATGAATCTATGCTGGGGGCGCATTTAAAGTGATCATATATGACTCATATCTTCTGCTCTGCTTGCAGGCTTGCCACACAAAAGAAGAATATGAAGAACATGGAGCAAGCATATGCCGCACGAATCCTGTTTTCAAGGGAATGTATTAATTACTTGGTACAACAGCTGAAGCTTCAATCAGCAGACTAGTTGGAGGCGTTCCTCGTGATTAGATACGATCCTGTAAGCTGAATCGTGCACCATGACTCGCCATTCTCCCCCCTTCGCCATCTGCTTCGGCATTCAAGTATTGTATATGGGGGATAGTTGCTTAGAAACTGCAAGAAAAGGAGAGATGGATTCCCTCACTGGTTAAAATGCTGCGGGTCACCCAGTCAGGAGTTAACAGGGTGCAGAATCAATTTGGTTCAATTGGGTAGGTCTGTTTGGTTCAGAGATGGTAGGGTTTAGATAGGAACTGTAATTTTAGGCAGTCCTTGATTAGTTTGAGCTGGAATTTTTAATCTTTTCAGCTCGTTTTTAGAGTACGATGAATATTCTTTTTCTGGCCCTGGTTTCCTTGCATTTACGAGGATGTTGGATCACTACAGAAATATGGTCATTCATTTTTCATGAATTGGATAAATGAAAGTTATTGTTTCAAGTCAAAACTAGCTTGGATATATGTCGTTGGCACTCTTTTGTTTTGGAGGTACTCTCCCCAGTCCCGAACTCTTTCTTACTTCAGCTCGCCAGCCCTTTTTGCGAACGAGAAGTTCCAAGAGAAAGCCAGGAAAGAGGTTTTCATAGGTTACACCAGGAATCGAAGGTGATAAATATATGACATGAATTCCAATTGTGGGTTTGTTTCCAGGAATGTACATTTTTATGAAAATGAGTTTCCTTTCCATACCATGACCAGAACCAGTTCACCACCTTCTTCACCGGATCCTTACAATCCTCTTCCATAACCTTCCTTGACAAATTCTTTTAGTTTAGAATATAAAAGCTAGGTATGTTTTTTGGTCTCATTGGTCGGTTAGACCATCCACAATGTGAGTGGGAGGGAAAAGTGGGAAAATAGGAAAAAGAGGGAAAAAGTGATGTTTTGATCACAATGCGAGGGGTGAGAAAAGTGAATAATTGGTTTAACACTTTATTGTTAAAATCAATCTATACTTGATTTCCTCACTTTATTTTTATATAATGATCATTATTTTTACGTAGTTAGTGATAATTAATTAATACGAACATTTCGATATATTTTTTTTAAATTTGGACATAATTTTTTTCATAACTAATTAAATATAACGTCATTAATTTTGTCCATTGCGGATAAAACCAATCAAAATACCTCACAATAAAAGAAAATCATTAAAACAAAAAAAATTAGAACAAAAAAATAAAAATAAAAAACAAATTATATGCGGGCCCGACAATGGGCCCCTCCTCCCTCCATTAGAAATGGCAATTTCGACCTGACCCGTTTTACCCGACCTGTTTGACCTGTTTTGGGGCGGGGCGGGCATGGGTACTCTCATAGACCCGACCTGCCCTGACCCGCCCCATTCTCGACCCATTCTCCCCTAAATTACACTTAATTTTAGTAAAATTACTTAGGATTTTCCTTTTACTAAATCAAATTTTAGCTGTAATAAAGTTGTAAATCAGTGAAAACCTCAATTTCTCCAATAATTTAACTATATTTATCATAATATTGTTTGTTTCCATGGTCTTATAATAAAAATAACGAACATTTCTAATATTTTCATATAAATTGCTTACCCATTGCCCATTGGGTCGACCTGCCCCGACCCGTGACTCGTGATAAATTACCCGACCTGGACCCGACCTGCCACGGGGCGGGTCTGGGTACCAAGAAACCCGCCCCGGACCTGCCCCATTGCCATTCCTACCCTCCATTGCATCCACCATTTGTTTGCTAGTGGGTGGGTATCCCACCCAATTTTCCCCCTTTCTCCACCCACATTGTGGGTTATTTTCCCACTTTCCCCCCTAAACCCACCTACATTGTGGAGAGTCTTACTATTTCATTTTCTGTCGTTTAGTAGAAATCGGTGAAAGGGCTTCCACCAATATCCTTCCCTACGCAGCCCTTCCACACATCGACGAAACTCTGCCTTCCCCTGCCGTCCTTTTCCTCACCTTTCCGGAAGTTCAGGCTGTGGTTGTCGATCGCACACACGCCACTGCTGCTGAAACCTCTTCCAGTCACGCCAATGGCCCATGATCCGTACTGTACTTGCTCTCTTTCTCTGCAGCACTAACCTATCGTGTTTTTCCCCAATACTCCTCTGAACGCTCCACTGTGCTTCTCGACCTTACCCCCTATTTGAAGCTACACACAACTCCACTGTGCATGGGGAGAGGGTATGCCTTGAGACTTTTGCCCTCATCAGTCATCTCCACCACACCTCAATGAACAAGAAAAGCTAAGAAGAAATTTATTTGGGTCTCTCTCTCAGTCGACGAAGAAGAAAAGGGAAGAAGAGATCTGTCTCATCGTTGAATACAATTTTTTGGGCATGAGCTGGTTCCCTTGAGGTCACAGCTATCTCCATTGATGGAGGCGAGCTCTCCGCTGAGAGGTTTGTTTCCGAAGTCGAGATCCTCTGGTTCCGAGGTCGCTGCTTTTATACCCTTCCACTTCTTCCCTATTACTGCCTCCGTTGCAGTTCAGCTCATCCGGCCTTCTAAGTTCTCAGGCCTCGAACCTTGGTGCCGTCGAGTTTTAGCAATCAGGAAGATGAGAGGGAGATTGCGAATTTTCGACGTCAGCTCTGATTACACGTCCTGAAATTGACCAAAAACTAGACATGGGGAAAATTAGAGAGTGTAGAGTTCAATTCTTACATGTTCGTGTTCTCGCTTAGATTCTAACTGTGAGAACCCCGCTTCTAGGGATTCTCGATACTGATCTTCGACACTCGTGGTTATACGTAACAAAGAGGGATTTAGGGATCAGGATAAGAAATTAGGGATTTAGATGAGAAGAACATAATAGAATTGAGAATCGGCCGAGGTCTTGGATTGGGAGAGGATAGAAATTAGGAGTTGAGAGAGATTAGGTTTAGGAGGGATACTTTATTTAATACTTTTCTTGATTGATTATGACGTAAACCCAAAGTACATATTTATAGGAAATAAACCCAAAACCCTAACGAGAATCCTAACTCTACTATGCCACAACCGGCCGCCTAACCCCCTACTAACCCTAATATTTATGTTTCCTACAATCCCACCGCTTGAAAACAACCTTGCCCTCAAGGTTGTAGTCAAATTTAATTATATCCTTGCTCGCGTTTCCTCTTCCTCCAATTTCGTCCAAGTGCTCGAACCAGACTTCTAGCACCAACATCTCCTGCCAACATCCCACCATTCGCGATCGAATCAAATACTCCTGTTCGGCACATCACATTTTTGTCATCCAAGTTCCCATCACCAACATTAAGCACTTGCCCTGATGTATAAGAATGCCCTATGCAAAGAAATTGTGCTGCATAGCTCCCCAAAACACCTTCCTGATCACGAATAAAGCCCACCCAAGGAAGAATTGAATTGGAAGCTCCCCACGGCACGTCACCCCAACTACACAACAATCCAGTGAATTGATCTTTCTCGTGTTGCTGGTTAACATTTTCGGGCAGCAGTGATGGCTCTTCTTTTATTGGCATTTCGGTTTCTTCTTCATCCTCCAATTCCTTGGTTTCCTCTTCGTCTACGTTGACGACAAGCGAAGCTTCCGCCAGGGCCACCAATGTTGGTTCCTCCTTAGGCTTGCTGGTCAGTGCTTCTTCCTCCAGCACCGCAAGCTTTTCCTCACCACCGCTACGCGACCGTCCGTCAGAGAGCACCGCCCGCATCTCCTCCGTTGTCGGCAGCTCCTTCTTCTCGACCTCCGAATCTGGCGAGGCAACCCAATCACCCAACGCCGATAACTCCTCCTCAGTCTTATTATTCGACGACACCCAATCCGCCAAGTGGGTGGAGATCGATCTCGAAGCTGCGACATCAGTCTTCAGCTCCTCATCCCCGTTCGACTTCGCTTGCTGCTCCCCTTTCCCTTCCGACCTTGCCACGAAAGCAACCGCCAAGGATCGCGGCTTCCCTCGCGCAATTCTCCTCTCCGACGAGACTTCAATCTCGCGGCGCGGAGGCAATCTCGACCCGATGACCATTCTCTTCTGCTCCGCCACCGTGTCTGACGACTCCTCCGTCTCGTTCTTGAATGGCGGCCTATCCTCCAGCTCTTTCATATCTTTCTCTGTTCCGGCCTCTGGTGTGGAGTAGCTCTTCAGACGAGCAAAGCCCAATCCTAGCGAAATCCCGCGTGGCTCCAGCTCCGCCCTCGGTCGACGAGTGTTTCCAGCAGATTCCAACTTCATCTTAAGAATCCTTGTGAGTTCTTCGATCGAGAGATCGAAGTTGGTTGAAACCATGGTACGAGTGCCACAACCGGGCTCTGATACCAATTGTGAGAACCCCGCTTCTAGGAATTCTCAATACTGATCTTCGGCACTCGTGGTTATACGTAACAAAGAGGGATTTAGGGATCAGGATAAGAAATTAGGGATTTAGATGAGAAGAACAGAATAGAATTGGGAATCGGTCGAGGTCTTAGATTGGGAGAGGATAGAAATTATGAGTTGAGAGAGATTAGGTTTAGGAGGGATACTTTGTTTAATACTTTTCTTGATTGATTATGACATAAACCCAAAGTACATATTTATATGAAATAAACCCAAAACCCTAACGAGAATCCTAACTCTACTATGCCACAATCGGCCGCCTAACCCCCTACTAACCCTAATATTTATGTTTCCTACACTAACCCTCTCCATCATCGGCTCACCGCCTGCAGGTGGAGTTCCATTACATCAACTGACAACTACAGAGGCTCCTGCAGTTGAATGTGAGCACTTCTACTATGCTATATAGTATTGGTGCTTTAATGTACAACTTAAAGTTGTACCATAACATTAAATGTATAAGTTTAGGTTGTACCATAAAGCAATTTGTACCATTATGTTGTGGTACAACTTTACAACTTGAAGTTGTACCATCACATTAAAGTACAAGTTCAAGTTGTACCATAAAAGAATTTGTACAAAAAGTATAGGTACAATCTGAAGTTGTACCATAACGTAAATGTATAATTTTAAGTTGTACCATAAAGGCAAAATCCTATAGCACCAATACTATATAGCATTGTAAAATTTCTCGTTGAATGTACGTCAATTTTTTCACCAGTTCGATCTTCTCCTTCTCTCAATTTGCCATAGGTTGCCTTCCTGCTTGCTAACTTTTGCGTGTCATTTTGTTTCAGGCTGGTGATTGGAGCTTTACGATGCCGAGAAACTATCACCAGCTGGTAGTTATTTATGCTCACTTATTCTCTAGATTGCCCCTGCTCGCATATTCCCATGTTTATCCAACATAATTCTTTGAGTATTCGTGTCTCTATAAGCAACCACATGACCATTCAAGAATTTAGACCTTTTTGTTACTATGGATTTTAGCTTTTTATTCTTAACATGAGTTCACTAATAGAAACACCTTCCATCAGTATCAACACCACAAACAATCCATGATTTTCATTAACGCAAACTCCATAAAACTGAAAAAGATCTCACCTGATTTTGGAAACCCA